GCTTACAATCCTAATTGAAGGCCTTAATTCTTCACTCTCTCCAGTTTGTGCAGGTGTGAGTGCATGTCCTGGTGGGGCTGGATAGCCACAGTAAGCATTCAGAGGGGTAAGAGGAAGAGAAATAGTTTATACAAATAGTTTGTATACAAAAAGAATCCAAGATGTAAGTGATATATTGGAATATTTACACTGTCTCAGTTGTGAAATTAAAGTTACCTGGAAATTGGAAATCTTGCTTTCTTTTTTTTATGCTCCTCTAGTTCCCACTTGATAAGTTGTTTTTTTTTCCTAAGAAATTCATGATATTCCTAAACAAAAAGTCATTTTTAAGTAACTTCTACCCTTATTTTAATAGAAATATATAGGTAAACCTTCTCCTGCTTAAAAAAAGTAATCATTACAGTATTGCATACCTAAATGGTAGAACAAATATTTACTTATATCTATTAGAGACATAAATTCAACAGAATGAAGTTCTGAGAAATAAAAAACGTAAAAGTGCTTTGGAAACCATAAAGAATATTAGTAGAATATAAATATCCAACTAGCGATGGTAATGGTATGAAACATGGGGTGACAAAAATTGAACTGTATTTGATATATGAGATAGCACATGAACACATGATCTGTTTGCTTATGTTGAGACAGCATACTGCAAACCAGTGTGGGTTGAGATGCCTGTAGGTTGGTTTCTTTTTTTTTTTTTATTAAGGTAAGCTGTTTTGATAGTGCCATTCTTTTCTGACAATAGAATGGTATGAAAATTTATTTGCTTTCTACCTTGATTGCTTGCCAATTTTAATCTATAAGAACTTGTAGATCAATTTTTAAAAAGGACAAAATATCTTTACCCAAGTGTTTAACATGTAAACATTCACTTCAACCCATATGTAATTTAAAACTGATTTGATCATAGATTTATATATGTGTGTTTCTTAACCATTTATCAGAGCTTTTAGGGTGGATAGGGGATGTTCTTGATCCAAATTGTGCTTTTTGAGGTAGAGTAGAAAATGGTTCATTGGTTGTCAATGATAATATTTAGAGTTCCCTGTATTGCAGACATTTCTTCTTTTAGTGAGATAGGATTAACTATGTTTTGTGTCCAGTATTGAGTTCTGGGATAGATCAGAAACTTTGGGATGTAATTTGATTAGGCAGGTTATTCCCATGTCTGAGCATGCATAAGTCTTAGGTGCCTTTGAGTCTCTAAGAGAATGATGGTGGTGTGATAAATACAGAAATAGTAATTTTAATATCACTACTCTTCTAAGACTGGTAATATCAGTCACTTCTTAATTTTCAGTTTAGAAAAGAGTGTGAGGAGAGAGGTAAAAAAAAAAAGAGGCACTGTTGTATTACAAAACCAAAACCAGCATCTTTTCATACTAATTACCCCTCTGAAGGTTACACATTAACCTTACTATCTGTCTGGTAAGGCACAGAGGGAAAATGAGACAAAACCTTAATTATTTTAAAATGTATTTTGGACTTCCGCCAAGATGGAGGGATAGGTAGAAGCACTGCACCTTCTCGCACAACCAAGTTTAAAAACAACAAAGTTTTAGCAACAAAAACACAGCCAAACCACAGAAAATTGAACTACATGGAAGTCTAACAACAACGAACCCTTCAGCCAAACCGGTAAGAGGGGCAGAGCCAGCAGCAGAGTGGGGGTTGGGCAGGAAAGATCCACTGGAACTACTGGGGTGCGTGACCCAGGTGCACCAGCAGCCGTGGGCGGATCTCAGGTGTGGAGAAGCAGGAAGACCCACTGAGGGCTGACCATGGTCACACATTTGTATGCGGATAAACCGATGAAGGAGCTAGTGGTGGTGAGATGGACTGCGTAGGCCCCAGAGGCGGAAAGCAGCAGAGAGAACCGCCATTGTCCCTCTCTGACCCCGACCCCGCACACAGTGTCATAAACCAGCAACCTGGGTGGCCCCACCCTGGTGAACAATTAAGGCTCCGCTCCTCATATGTAACAGGCACAAACATAAAAACATGGCTCAAGAACAACTCAGAGCCCCTGAGCCAATAAATCTAAGCAATGAAGAAATAGCTAAACTTTCAGATGCACAGTTCAAAACATTGGTGATCAGGATGCTCACAGAACTGGTTGATTTTAGTCACAAATGAGAGGAACATATGGAAGCTAAACTAATTGAAATGAAGGGAAATACACAGGAAACCAATAGTAATGGAAAGGAAAGTGGGACTCAAATCAAAGGAGTGGACCAGAAGGAGGAAAAAAAAATGACCAAACAGAAAAGGATGAAGAAACAAGAATCCAAAAACATGAGGAGAGGCTTAGGAACCTCCAGGACATCTTTAAACGTTCCGACATCCGAATTATAGGGGTACCAGAAGTGGAAGAGGAACACCCACGAGTGGAAAACTTATTTGAGCGGATAATAGAGAAGAACTTCCCCAATCTGGCAAATGAAATAGACTTCCAGGAAATCCAGGAAGCTCAGAGAGTCCCAAAGAAGTTGGACCCAAGGAGGAACACACTAAGGCACATCATCATTATATTAGCCAAGATTAAAATGAAGGAGAGAATCCTAGAAGCAGCAAGAGATAAGGGGACAGTCACCTACAAAGGAGTTCTCATCAGACTGTCAGCCGATTTCTCAAAAGACACCTTACAGGCAAGAAGGGGCTGGAAAGAGGTATTCCAAGTCATGAAATCCAAAGACCTACATCCAAGAGTGATGTATCCAGCAAAGCTCTCATTTACAATGGAAGGGCAGATAAAGTGCTTCCCATATAAGGTCAAGTTAAAGTTCATCATCACCCAGCCCTTATTGTATGAAATGTTAAAGGGACTTACCTAAGAAAAAGAAGATAAAAAAGATGAACAGTGAAAGGACAGCAAACTCACAGTTATTAACAACCACACCTAAAACAAAAGCAAACTAAGAGGACAGCTAAATGAGAAGCAGAACCATAGAAATGATCACATGGAGGGTTAGCAACAGGGGAGTGGGAGAAGGAGAAGGGGGGAGAAGGTACAGAGAATAAATAGCATAGACAGTAGGTAGAAAATAGATAGGGGGAGGGCAAGAATAATAGGGGAAATATAGAATGTAAAGAACTTGAGACATGTGGTCATAAACCAAAGGGGGAAATGGTGGGGGAGGGGGTGTGCAGGGTGGAAGGGAATGAAGGGGGAAATAGAACAACTGTAATAGCATAATTAGTAAAATATATTTAAAAAAAGAATAGTAGAGAAACAAAGAAGCCAAAGAACTTACATGTACTTCCAATCCATGGACATGAACTAAGAGGGGAGATTGCTGGAGGAAAGGGGGCTACCAGGGGGAGGGGGGCAAAGGGGGAAACTTAGGACAAATGCAATAGCATAATCAATAAAATATATTTAAAAAATAAAATGAAATGTATTTTGTTCATTGAAAACTTTATGGTTTGTGTTTGTGTGTGTGACAGAGAGAGAGGGACAGACACACACTCAAGTCTGTTGATAAAGTGAATGTACAAAAATATAAAAGTGATAAATAAATCTTTAAACAAGGCACCAGGTTATGGTTTTTCTTCATGTACACCTTAATGCCTGATTTTTGAAAGGGCTTTAGACATAAATAATATTGAAAATAACAATTTTTCAAAAACTAAAGTTTCAGAGTCCTCTACCATGTTTTCGTGGTGGATTTATTCCTATAGAGGTCTTCATTTCAGTTAATCACCTATAAGAAAGAGGAAGAATACAATCTTTTTCCCTTTCTTTTGGGGGCAGAAAGGACTAGAAAGTGGAGGCAGAAAACATTGGTTCCAGTTTGAATTCTACAACTTCATGACTTGAGTGGTTTGGTCTCTCAGAACTCCAGAAGGTTCATTGGAAAAACTGAGGAAATAACTATGCATTATACAGGGATGTGCTGGTGATCTATACCAAATATTTTATTATAAAATCATAAGCATATAATTCTGTAATGTAATATCACACTCAAGCACATCATAGACATTTTAGTAGAAATGTTCAAATTGCTGTCCATTTCATGGAGACATTCACGTACCCTACCAACTACATTTAGTGGCGTTACTTCTGCCAGCCCCTGTCTATTTTGCTTTTTTTCTTCCTTGTTGGGTTAACCCTTTGTGTCCAAAGAGCCCCCATTTTTTCTAGGGACTTTGTATGTATGAGGCTGGGGGAAAGCCACAGCCCCCAAGATGGAACAGATCTGCACTCCTCCCTGACTTGGGAGTCAGCACTGTGCCCTGGCCCTCACAGCACTCCTGTGTCTGTGTCCCCTTCTTGTTCCCTCCTTCCAGCCCCTCCTATGTACACCTGCAGCACAAACATAAAGCTCTTTTTCTATTTTAATATTACCTGCATGCTTTATTTGTCTGTGTGATTTGAATAGCTCAGAGGACTACCTGAACTTTCAAACGGAGTACTGGAATACCTGTAATAGCACTGGGGTTACCAAAAAAACTGTGGGAGAGTTTGAGTCACTGTTGTCACTCCCTTAGACCAGGTCCGAAATCCTTTGGCACTTGGAGGGCTGTGCTATTACCAAAAAAACTGTGGGAGAGTTTGAGTCACTGTTGTCACTCCCTTAGACCAAGTCCGAAATCCTTTGGCACTTGGAGGGCTGTGCTAGGCACCATAGGGAAAGCCTTGGTACTCTTACTTACCACAATGAAACCTCTAGGATCTTTGCTCACTAGAACCACAAAATTTGTAATAGCTTTCTGGAACTATGGATGTTTTTCTTCCAGTTCTCTCCACAGACCTCGCCAGGCCTCCTCACTAGAGAAACAGCACAACCCCACCATTTCCCCACTTATTTCTCCTAAGAAGGTGGGCAGGAGAGTGGTTCGTTCTTTTTACTCCTTGCTAGCCAATGAGCATGCAGCCTTTCTTCCGGTAGGCCAGCTGACCAATCCGAGGAAGCTAGTGTAATCTTCGGCTCCACTCGGCTCTTTTCGCTGTTGCGGGTAGCGCGGGGCCGACGCTGGAGAGACGCTTTCCTTTTTTTATTTTTTTTCCTTGCGTTCACTTCCGGGTCCGGTGCCGATCCGGATGCCCGAGGCAGGAGGATGTTTGACCTCCGGATAAGTGAGGCGCTGCTGTGCATTCATTCCCGGCTGCATCGGTGGCGACAGCAGCGGCCCAGGCGGCGACTCTCCAGCCACAGGCGGCGGTAGGAGGCACCGGCAGTAGTGAAGGGATTCAGTCCGAGTGGAGCTGCGTTACCTTTCTCGCTTGTTCCTTACCCTCTACCTCGCTCTCTCCCTCCCTGGGTGGCTCGCTTCCCTCCGTCGACCGCCAGTGGTGTGATGTGCCGCGGCCGCTGCCCCCTTCGCTGCTGAGTGACGGAGCGGGGGCGTCGCCCGAGCCCCAGACCGACCCCGCTGCTCCAGACCGCGCCTCTGAGGTAAAGCCCCCTACGCGTTGGCGCCGGGCACTGTGGCCCGCGGCAGGCTCTTGGTGCCTGCGGCTCTTTTCTTCCCGGGTGGGGCTGGGTGGGCTGGGGTCCCGGGTTGAGTGGGGTGGGGTGGGGTGCGGCGGGGGCTGTGCCTCGGGCGGGGGGCCTCGGAGGAGGGGTGAACGCGGACCAGAGGCGCTGAGGCGCGCGCGGGAGGGGCCGCAGCCGGGAGGTGAGGGCGCGGAGGGCTCGGCGGGCTGGGAGGGGGCCAGGGGTGTCTGGCCGGGCTGGCTGCAGAAGTTGCCCGAGCGGTGCGCAGGGAGTGGGTACTGGTGGGAGGTGGGGAACTGGGAAAAGGCAGGGACTTCTTTCGGGAGGGTTTTTGAGGTCGGGAGTGTAGTTTCCAGCACTCCTTGATTGTATCCAGACAATTACCTTCGGAGTGGGGGTTTTGGGTGGGAGGGACGAAGGCATCGGTCTGTTGGAAGGAGGTGTCAGGGGCCAGCTTTCATTTCAGGGGTAAACTTCCCGTTGGGGCGTTTGTTTCAAGGCAAGGGACAGGGATTTACCTATTTGATAGAGCTTTTGACTTGGCTCAAAACTTAAGCAAGGCATTAGTCGGAGTAACAAAATTACTCTGATGGTTACTGTTACGGTGCTGGTTTGTTTATCCCGTATGCAGGGGAAGTGACACAGAAGCGCCGGTTCTTTGGGTCCACAGCCCCCACATTACTTTTCTGCGGAGTGGTGATGGAGATGTGTGTGTTCTGGTGGGGTGAGGGTAGTCAGGCCTGTGTTATGATCATTCTAGTTCTCCCAAGGAAGGAGGAAAAGTTAATGGTTGGGCCGGGGGGTGGGGAAGAGAGAGAGTGTATGTCTGCGTGGGAGATGGCTACTGTTGCTACACAGTGCGAATTAGTTTTAACTGTTGTAGTGAGTACCAAGGCTGGTCGGTAAGTGACCCGGTTTTTAACCTTTTGTTTTAGAACATCGACTTGAATTGGAAAAATTTAAACCTACTGATTTTTAATAACCTGAGAAAATAAGTCAGTGTTTCTTTTGGTTTTACAATTCTTATGATATGAATGACAGTTGCCCACAGATAGTAAAATATATTTAACTATAAGTTGAAATACTTTTTAAAATTAAAAACATCTAATTTTAAAGCCATATATATGTATATATATTTGAAGAATGTTTGCTTTTCCTATAAAGAAACATATTGTGGAAGAAAAATATCACAAAAATTATAACAATGATTTAAAATTAGAAAGATCTGAGGCCAGTTTTTAAGAAAACATTTTCCACTAAAAATCAGATCTGGTTTGTGACATTCTTAGGAGCGTTTAGGAGGGGTTTGGTTGGAGACATGTGCTTAGTGTATTTTATAACTATTCCTAAACTTTGCCCCAACTGTATTCTGAGCTAAGATATAGTCATATTTTGTATACATTAGCCTCTATAGTTGCACAAAAGATAAAAACTATATTTATGGGCATTGGAAGAAATTATCAAATCAATTGATTGGCTTTGACATGGATTATTAGTAGAGTGTGTAGACACTTTTTGCTTTTAGGAAGTTTGCCTTTCTGGGTATGCATCAGATCTAAATACTTATTAGAATGAGGGCTAGATAGGTCAGTTTTAATGTTGATATATATGAAAGTTTTGGGGGGGCTTTTGGAAAGTGATTATCTTTGCTGATGATTTATTGTGCTGCGTGACCTCTTCTGCAATAATGAACTTAAAAATTAATACATTATGTAGCTATTAATGTTTTCATGTATTTGCAAGCATTAACTATTAACAAAATCTTTAATACATGAAAGTCTTGTATTTCTTCAAATAAGCAGACCGTGATTAGAATCAAGGATAGTTTAGTTCCACCTGGACCTTCAGTATGTGCATGAGAGTTTTACTATGTGTGGTGAAGATGAATGAGACCCAGTAGCTGCCATCAAGGGAGAAGCAGACTTGCACAGATACAACTGCAACACAAAACTCCTGTGAGTTTATTGAGTGCTTGTGTGTGTGTGTTTTACTAATTTTTGACTGGGGAATTATGAATGAATTTATACCTGGTAACACTCCCTTTGGGTCTTACCACATTTTAATAGGCAAAATGGAGGCTGTGTGTATATGGGGGTAGTAGTCTAGGTGAAGGGAACAGCTTGAACACATGTGGGTTGGGTATTATGGGGCCTATTCAGCTGGACATAAGGCTGCTGTGCCAGGAGGTCTTTGTGGGAGAGGAAGCTGTGAAGTAGGTGGAGATCAGGCCAGGGAAGTCCAGAATGCCTTGTATTTAAAAATGAGTCAGTTTGAGGTATGAAGGTTCAAGTATATAGCTTCTGTGATAGAGAGTAGGTAAGGCAAATAAGGATAGTAAAATGAAGGAAATAAATTATAGCAGAATAGAAGACTTGTTATCATTCACGCTAATGGAGGAAAACACAAAAGTATAGAAACTAAAACAGTTCATACATTGCTTGCTGAATTTCTTTACTTGCATTTAAATATGGGTGTGTCTGGTAATCTGGTCATTGATTTTTACATGGTAGAAATCCAGACTGTAAAAATGTGACTCAGGAATAAATGGAAAGCAGCAGTCCCTGTACTTCTCTGTGTCCCCTCTGTGATCCCCTCCATGCTGTGACTGGGCCATTATTCTGGTGTAGTTTATTGGTTTAGTTTTTTCAGACTAGAACAGGTGGTTGTTCAGTTTCAAAGGGCTTGCCAAAAGGGTTTATCTAACTAAATGCAGGGAATGGTTAAAATATTTAAAAAAAACAAGAAATACAGTTCATTTGATAGTTACATTATTGTTAAAACATTTGAAGGTAAGATTTACTATGGATGAAGTGAAATGTAAGGAGTCTGCATACAAAGAGAATTGACTATAATAGTGAGATGATAAAATGAGAAGCTTCCACAATAGCAGACAAATAATGTATAAAGCTTTTTGGTCAGCTTAAATACCAGATAACCCTAAAATAATTTAACCCCAAACTTGTTTTCATAAGAGTACTTAGAGGAATATCATCCTCCCAAACACCGGTGTTTAAGTACGTGTAGAATCACGTTACAGGGAAGTTTGTTTGATGGTTTTTGCTATTTTCCTCTTAGTCTTCAAAAGAACTTACATTATAACTGTATTTGTGTTATTTTGAACAGTAACAACAATACCTGTTACAGTGTATTAAGTGCTTACTTTGTTTAGGAATTGTAAATGCTACTGTTCAGACAACTCTATGAGTTAGGTGGTGTAGTCCTTCACTTCGACCATAGAAAACAGTCTTCTAGAGCAACCAGTTTTATAACTTGGAAGTAGTACCATGTATATTTAAATTAGTTTTTCATTTCTGGCTTCAAAGTCTGAAACTACCAGTGATGATCTGTTTTTCTAATCTTCTTCATCTTTGTCTTCTCTCAAGCAGTTAGCAGTTAGTGGTATTGATTGGTATTTGTTAATATGTGTCTGGATGTTGGGTCTTCAAGGTGTAATTTCTTTGGAAGTAACATTTTGGTGGTATCTGAAATTTTTTAATTGTAGAGATTTTGTGGGAGACAGTATGCTTAAACATAAGGTACTTCAGAGTATCACCTTTGTGTTGATCTGCTGGACAAATACTGGGGATTCTTAATGTATAGAAATAAAGTGTGTATTATCCACTAATATAAATACCATCCATTAATATGGAGAGCCTCTGAACTACTCAAAAATATGGAATGAGAGAGATATATGGGACAGATATGTTTCAGAAACATATGGAGGCTGTTGTTCAGCTATGTTTCCTCCAGCTCCCTTTTCAGTGCTGAGGTTTAGAAACTATAAATGTTTGTGTTCACTCTCATTGTGGGATGTTAGGAAGGTGTGTAGTGATTTGTTCTTGAACTATAGTGATTGCCCTGGCTTGGTGGCTTAGTTGGTTGGAGTATTTTCCTGATACACCAAAATTGTGGGTTTGATCATGGTTCAGGGCACATACAGGATTCAACTAGTGAATTAATTAATTCATAGATAAGTGAAAAAACAAACCTTTCTCTCAAATCAATAAATAAAAATTAAAAAAACACTATTGTAAGTGATTGGTTATATTTTCTCACACCATTCCCTGCTCATCATTAGTTATTAAAAAGAATTCTTAACAATGGACTTGAAACATTTATGTATTTAGTATAAGACTCTACACATTATTGCTAATTTTTTTTACTAATGATATATCACAAGTTGTAATTTAACTTAATGAAAATCTGTAGCTCAGTTATGTCCACATCTGGCTAAATCACATCCACTTTTTTTATAGCTTTCACTGGAATTAGGTAAAATCTCATAATAGGTACTTTCCTTAAACTTCTAATGCTTTGTTTTCTATAGTGAGGTAATATCAGGCTTAACTGTATTCAGAATCATTACATTTATTTAGCTGAGTTGTGTTGAACTATTTTCTATACTATGAGGGCACTGTTCTCTCTGGTGTATAGCCATCTCAAGAGCAATTCAACAAAAACACATATACACAGAAAACCCAACAGTTTTTAAAAATTAAATAAAGGGAGAGAGTTATTCTGTGATTATGCTCTTCATCAATATTGAGAAAATTATATAAAGTGCCAAGATGTGATACTTGGCATACAGATAGGCACTGTGTAAATCTTAGAAGCAGATTCAGAAGTTGCTGATATATATGATTGTTGGGTAAAATAAACAAAGACTTTTAGGAACAGCCTTTTACAGATGAATCTCTTTAAACTCACCTGCTTAACTCACACAAAAGAGCAAGAGATTCTCTTCATTAATTTAACTGCTGGATGCTCATGCTATGTCACTGAATAGCAGTAGACCACCCTATAGTTTGTTCTTGAACTTTATGCCAACCAGTTATTTTATACCAACTAAGAATTATTTGTGTTCACACCCAGCAAATTGTTAATGGCAGTTATAATTTAATGTAACATTGTTCAGTGAACCGTGGAGGCAGAAAAGGTGTTTGTACGAGAACTAGTGG